TCACATGCCACTTCAGAAGTGCTTCTGTGCCACCTTTGTTGTGTAAATTTGGCATGTGTAAAAAAGCCTTTATTACTGAATCACATCACTTATAAGCGTCAGATTATCATAATTAATTCTTATAAATCTTATTTATTTAAAGATGCATTATGTTGCATTTCTATCCAACTATCTTTACTTGTCAAATCACTTGTTGTTAATTTTAAACCCTGGTTGTTTCTAGTTAGTCACGCACCCATTGGTGGGATCGGTGAGGATGGCTCTTGGGTTAACCAGGTCTGTGTTAATCAAGACACGGCGCTGGGATCCGTCTAATGAGGAAACTTCAATTCTGTCCTTCATGGAGTCTGTCCAGAACATGTTTCTGCCCAAATGGTCGATAGCGATGCCTTCAGGACTGCTGAGATCTGACACAAAAATCAGTTTGAAAATCAGTGTAATCAGAAAAATCAAAACTGATCTTTTGTGATCCACAGAAGATGGTGAATAAGTATGGAACGATGCAATGAGTCATTTTTGGATGAACTATTGGTTAAAACTGACTCTACCTGATTTAATGATGTGGACGGGTTCTCCTCCTTGTAGACTAGCTTTGCTAATGGCAGGTGTGCTGATGTCGGTCCAATACACCATCTTCTCCACACAGTCAAAAGCAATTCCAATCACCACTTTCTCCTGCAAAAACAATAGAAAAGACTCACAAACATGCATGGGACTGTTTAGGATGATGACAGCCGCCTTCAGGCATTAAATCTGTCTGTCTGTGACTGGCTGTCTAGACAAGACATGAAACCACACATCAAGAATCTGAGTGAGTCAAATGACTCTCAGGCCAGTTTTGTTACTAATGCATGGTTGCATTTTCCCTTGGTTAATAAGCTTCACTGATGTTAGTCATTACAGTAAATGTTAGCATGTGAGCAGTAAATAAGAGCAGATGGGATGAAGATTCATTCAGATTTATGATTTCCCACAGTACTGCACACAATAGACCTAAAAGTCCATTTCAGGATTCCATAGATGAAAATATAAACCACGTGCATATGCTGCATGTCTAGCTAAACACAATCAATTGGCAATAGAATTAGAAATAGTGAGAAACCATAATATTTACCATTGAAAAGTTTTGGGTAGGAAATAATTTTTTGAAAGAATCAAATCAAAAGTGACAGTAAAGA